GTTAACTATGCATGTAAAAGTCTTAAATTGTTATAAGTCGTTAACGTTTGGTCGTGATTTGGATAAAATAATATATTTAGTCATAAATTGAGCAACATCACAAACGTTTAGTCCTAAATTAAGCATTTAGCCAAAAAGTTATGATTTTAACAACTTATTATTATATGTTAAACTAGGAATAGTAAATTATGAGTATTTACTCATACTTTTCTAGTCATTTAAACTCCAAACTTTTTCTTTTTTCTTTTTCTACCTTACAAGTTACATAATCTATCATACAATGTAATTACTTTCTTTTTAGATATATTCAAATCAATAATAACATAGTAGTAGATAATTAATAATTTAGTAATTAATCATTAAAAACTTAAATGTAATTAGTATAACTTAGTTGTAATTAGTATAACTTAGTTGTAATTATCAATAACTTATTAGTAAATTAATGATAATTTAAGTAAATGAATGATAATTTAGTAGTAGATAATTGATAACTTTTTAGTAAATCAGTAATAATATAATAATATATGCATAATATCTTAATGGTAAATTAATTATAATATAGTTGCAAATGCATAATAACATAATATTAAATCAATGATAACTTAAATAAAAAATAAGTGATAACTTAGTAGCAATAAATTGATAATAAGTTAATAATAAATCAGTTTTAGTTTAATAGTAATTAATTGACGACAGTAAATTATAAATAATTTAGTAATAAATCATAAATAATTAAGTAGTAAATAAATGATAAATTAGTAGTAAGTAATTGATAATTTAGTAGTTAATCATTGAAAACTTAAAAGTATATCAGTATAATTTAATAATAAATTATCGATAACATAATAGTTAATAAGTAATCACTTAATAATAAATTATGTATAATTTAATATAAATCAATAATAACTTACTGGTGAATAATAGATAATTTTGTGGTAAATCGAAAATAATTTTACAGTAAAATTAAGTAGTAAATTAATGATAACATAATAGTAAATATATAAAAATATAATAGTAAATTATTGATAATTTAGTAGTAAATTAATAATTTAGCAGTAAATCATTAATAACGTAATAGTAAATTACTAATAATTTAGTTATGAATTAGTGATAATTTAATAATAAATTAGTTAATCATTGATAAATTTTTAGTGTATTACTGGTAAATAATAATAAATTAGTTATAATTTTATAATAAATCATTAATAACTTAGTTTTAAATCACCAACAATTTAATAGAAATAATTTATAACTTAATAATAAATAATTCATAATTTAATGATAAATTATTCATAAATTAGAAGAAAATTATTAATAATTTAGTAGTAAATCATTAATAACTTAGTAATAAATAACTTATAATTTAATTATCAATCATTGATAATTTTTTTATACTTAAAATTGTCAAAAATTGAACCCTGATTACTAGCAAAAACAAAGTAAAAATTTTAATTTTAAAGCTAGGATAAACCTATCATTAACATATTCAATAAAAAAATTAAGTGAAAAAAATTTATAAACTTAAATAAAACAGTACTATTATTATATAAAAAGAAAATCATCTCACATATTATCAGTGAATTTTTTAAATTAATGTTTTATAATTGTAAATACATAACAATAAATTAGTAAATCAATTATAGGTTAATAAAAAATAAGTAATAACTTAGTTGTTAATCATTGATAATTTAATAGTAAATTAGTTTCAGTTTAGTAATATTTAATTGGTAAACTTAGTAGTAAATCATAAATAACTTAATATTAAATCAATGATAATTTAGTAATTAATCATTGAAAAATTAAAATTATATTAATATAATGTAATGGTAGTTAATTATTAAAACTTAATAGTTAAATAACTTAACAGTAAATTATGGGTAATTTAATATAAATTAGTAATAACATGATAATAAATTATGATTAATTTAATAATAAATCTAAGATGATTTTGTAATTTGTAATTGAAAACTAAATAATAAATCAATAATAATATAATAGTAAATGCATAATAACATAATAGTATATCATTGATAATTTAGATGTAAATTATTGATAACTTAGTAGTAAATTAATAATAACTTAGTTGTAAATCAGTGATAATTTAGTAGTAAATTAGTTAATTATTGATAATTTTATCATAAATAATTGATAAATTAAATAGTAAATCAGTTATAACTTTATAACAAACTATCAGTAATTTAGAAGTAAATTATTAATAATTTAGTAGTAAATGATTCATAATTTAGTAGAAAATCAATAATAACTTAATTGTAAAGTAGTGATAATTTAGTAGTAAATTAGTTAATTATTGATAATTTTATCATAAATAATTGATAAATTAAATAGTAAATCAGTTATAATTTTATAACAAATCATCAGTAATTTAGAAGTAAATTATTAATAATTTAGTAATAAATAATTCATAACTTAGTAGAAAATCAATGATGACTTAATTGTCAATCATTTATAAATTTTTTATATTTAAAGTTGTTAGAAATTGAATCTTAGTTACTAGTAGAAATAAAGCTAGAGATTTCACTTTGAGATATTAGGATAAACCTATTTTAAACCTATTCAGTAAAAAAATTTAGTGAAAAATTCTAAGTTTGAATGAAATAATACTATTATTATATAAAGAGAAAATTATTTTATATTAGAATTGAAATCTCACTTTTTTACCAGAATCTATTATTAAATGTATTATGACACAAATTTTATCAATAACTACTAAAAATATATCATAAATTAGCATAAGGTTAATTATTAAAATTACATTAAGAGGTTATCAAAATTTTATCAATAGTTATTAAAATTATATTATAAGTTACCAAACTAATATCGAAAGTTATCAAAATTGTAGCTAAGGTTACCAAATTTTTTTAAAAAGTTATTAAAATAAAATTATATAAAAAATTATCAAATTTTATTTATATTATATCAAAATAAAAATTAAATTATTAGTATTTATCATTATTATTATAGTATAAAAAATTATTTATTGAAATGAACTTTTAAAAATAAGAATTACATAAGCGTTATGCACGTGCCAAAAACTAATGCATATAAAGACAAATCCACTTAATTGATATAAGTTTTCTTTTTTTTTTTTTTTTAAATCTTTTGATCAAAATGGTTTTAATTTTAATCCAATAGTAAAAAAAAAAAAAATTGTAACACTTACACTAGTATAAGTGGATCATACTAACATTGGAGTTTTTAGATTTACAAGCAACGTTAAAAAAGTAACACATCTTTTAAGATATTTTTAAAAAAAATAAAAAAATTAATTAAAAATAAAAATGAGACATATGTCAAATTTTTAACACCATTTTTAGAATTAAAAATTTATAATGACATTGTCTCAAATATATATTCCTTTGTTTTTTTTTTTTTTGACTTCTTTTAAGAGTTTCAATTTGCCTATTTATTACTAAAAGTACATTTGAATGAGCAGAGTGATTGACTTTAATAAAATTAAAAATAGCATTGGTTTAATTAGGTGAGATTAGATATTATAATGATATAATTAAAAACAACGATAGATATATATTTGAATACACACAATGACAGTGTATTAATTATATATTCCTTTCGTTTTTTTTTCCTGACTTCTTTTAGGAGTTTCAATTTGCCTCTTTTTTACTAAGGGTACATTTTGAATAAGCAATGTGATTGACTTTGATAAAATTAAAAATAACATTGGTTTAATTATGTAAGATTAGATATTGTAACGATATAATCAAAAACAATTATAAAGATATATATTTGAATACACACAATAATAGTAGTAAAAATTTTCATTTTCACATTAAAATAGCCTACTGTCATATGCAATGTAATGGATTGCCCTAAAGTAGACCTAATCATAGATTGAGTTGGGTCCAGTTCGGGCCAGATCTAATATAATATTTCAATATTTTAAGGAAACTTAGGTCCGACCCTACTCAATTTTTTAAGCATCATTTTTTACCTAAATCCATTTTTATATGTAATTATAAAATTTAAATTCACCCAAAGCATTGATCTTTAAAATTAGAAAAAAGAGAATTTTTTTTTGTAAATTATTAATTTACCTAATTTAATTAATTTTAATTAAATTTATGAGTTATTTGGACTTGAGACCAATTTAATTTTATTGAATGTAATTTAAATTGGATCATTATTTTGTATAAAAAAAATGAGTTTTATCCTATAAGTAATAAAGAAAATATGTCTTATTCATTATAAAAAATAAAACAAAAGAGTTTTGTCTCATTATAATAAAATATATTTTTTTAATTTTTAAGTTGGACTTTAAATGATAAAACTTAAACTCAATCTATATTTTGATCGGTCCTCGTTTATTTGTTTAGACTTATTTAATATACTTAATATTCATATTTAAACTTTTTAAAATTTTGAAAGAATTTTTAAATTTGGATGAACTATTCGACCCATAAGCAAATTTACCCTAAAGTCTAATTATTCACTAAACCTTTCTTCATTCTGCATTGCAAAAACTATTAAATTACATCTTACAATACAATTAACTTAAAAAAATTAAATTTGATCGAAATTATGGTGAAATCTAAATTTACCTTAAAGAATTTATTGGGATGATTATGACAATTACTAGTAATCTCGAATAGTTTATAATATCATCTGAAGCTAAACTACGAATCACATCTTTCAACAATCAAATCTTCAAAGTTTTCAAATTTTCATTATTAATTTGTTTGAAACAACGATAAGTAGTACAAAACAAATACTAGTTGACTTCACCCAATATTTACTTTTATCGACAATAATCATCATTCATCAACAAATACTCCGTTTGCATCCCCACCGTCCATCTCATTCTCATCATACTTAATTCCAAGCAGCAATATTCTAAAACCCTATTTTTTAGTAAAAAAAAAAGACTAAAACCCTATTTAACCATCCATGATAAAACAAATAAAACTAAGGAAAAAACCGAAAAAATGAAAATTATTATTTTAAAAAAAGAAAGAAAAAGAAATAGAGGTGGACCCCTCCCGTAGGGAACGCGCACATAAAACCCTGCCTAAAACCCATAAGAAGCGCTGCCTCACTGCTGCAACTCCTCCCTGTGCCTCCTCTCCATCTCTTTTTCCTCTTCATACTCACGGTCGCGGCTGTTCGATTTTGCGTCAAATCCCTCAACAGAAGAGAAGAGAGAAATGGCGGGGCTTGTACCTCCAGGTACCGCGATTCCAGCCGACGCATCCAAGACGGCGCATACGAAAGCTGACGAGAAAATCGATTACATGAATCTCCCATGCCCTATTCCTTATGAAGAGATCCACCGCGAAGCTCTCAGTTAGTCTTCCCTTCTCACTTTATAATATATGGGTTTTCTTTTTATTCTTTTATTTCTTGATTAATAGCTAAGTCTTGAGATTATTCTTTTATTTGAAACCTTGTTTGGTCTTTTATTGATCTGTATTGGCTTATGTGGAATTATATGACTTGGCATTTTGAGTAGAGATGGTGAAGTTAGTTGTGTGGAGGCGCCGCAGATTCGGTTTTTGGTTTGGTTGTTAAACCCCTTTCTTAAAACCCTAGTCTGCTCTGATTAGTGAAAAAAGATGATTCTTTTTTTGGTATTTCTGTATGAGTCACAAAAATCAAAATTTAAATATCTCTTTTTTCTAAGAATAGGGAAAGGTTTTGATTTTTGATTAATCTTAAGTGCAAATTTTATAAATGCAGTTGCTTCTTAGAATTGGGGACAACAGGTTCTTTGGGTTTCATAAATGGGCAATTATATTACTAATAATACACCCAACTTCCAAGGGGTTATAATAGTAGTGTGTAAAGCTGGTGGGTAACGAGCATGGCCAGTGAATTGAAATGTTTGGCAATAAGAGAAAAATAAAGGTTTATTAGGGAACTAAAAGCATGTGGGAGTGATACACTACTATGGTTGTTGGTGAAGATGATGTTAGGTTCTTGAGATATGATTAAGTTTTTCTGTGAATCTTTATCTTGTGTGCTTTGAGATGTATGTTTAATTTAATGTTTAATATCTTTATCAGGGTGGCATCTATTTTCCTAATTTGTGCCTATCAAAGTGTTGACGAATATCCACTTTTTTTTTCCTAATTTTATTGTCTAATCATGTACCTCTACAAGTTTTGAATTCTAGGGTATCATGATGCATCTATAGCGGGATTATTATGTAGAAAAAAAATGACTTAAAATAGTGGTTAGGGTCTGTTGTTTTTCATGAAAAATTAATGTTTATTCCTTGAACATGTCTGGCAGTGTCTCTGAAGCCAGAAACTTTTGAAGGATTACGATTTGATTTCACCAAAGGGCTAAATCAGAAATTCTCACTCAGTCACAGGTGGCTCTTTGAGATTTTTGGTTTTTTATGCTTTTCTTATGTATTTTCTCTATAAGTAATAACAGTATCTATGCATTCCCAATCATTTCTCAGTGTGCTTATGGGCCCAACAGAACTTCCTTCTCAATCTGGTGAAACCATTAAAATTCCTACTGCTCACTATGAATTTGGTGCCAATTTTATTGACCCAAATGTAGGTGGCTTCTCTCATTATATTTACTCTTCCAGTGTCATCCTATTGTCCTCCTAAATTATTTTATCTTACTAAGTCAATCTAATAGTGGGATCAATTATGGGGTTTCCACAGTTGATGCTTATAGGGAGGATGCTGACTGATGGTAGACTCAATGCAAGAGTGAAATGGGATTTGACTGACAATCTAACCGTGAAAGCTAATGCCCAGGTAAATAGTGTTTTCATTTATTCTTTAAGCTCATGTTTTCTTGTTTGCAGGTAGAATTTATGGTTTTTCATTTGTAAGCTAGTCTATAACTTTATCTTTTTCCTGTTCCAGCTCACAAATGAGCCTCATATGTCACATTGCATGGTCAACTTTGATTACAAGGTTAGTCACTCTTAAACTAAATTATATCTTGGCTAGTTGGTTTTGGTTTGTGCCTGTATTTTCTTTATGTTATTGTGAGTGTGATATCTCATATTCTGATTTTTTTTTCTTTTGATTTTATTCATCATTTTTGGGAGCTATTTTTATGCTTGTAAACAAATTTGTGTGGTGGCCTGCTGCCATGAAATATAAGCTTGCATTTTGTCTTTTGACATTTTTCTTTTCCTTGTATAGGGTAAAGATTATAGGTCTCAGTTTCAAATGGGAAATGCTGCTTTATTTGGAGCTAGTTATATCCAGGTAAATTATATGAAGCCACATTATATCTGTTGAATTGATACTTAGTATAATGGACAAGTTATTGGATCATCTGTACATTGAAAAATAACTTGTACTATACCTAGGTGCAAAATAATGTGGACTTTGCAATTTCTCTATGCATTGCAAATCCTGAGATGTATGCTTGCAAAAAATTAACATGAAGACAGGATTGTATCTGCTAGTTAAACTAACCACAGATGATGCCTTCACAAAAGGATTACTCACCATTGTGTTGTCAAGTGACTATAGCAATGGTATATCCTGCTAGAAGTTTTCCTGTTACTTTTGTTTATGTATGTGTCTGTGTTACCCTGCCTAATCATGCTGTAGGACTAGGATCATTCATCACAATCAGTGGACAAATGCTTTTTCTTGAAGAGTACATATAAGAATGTGATGATGCAAGCTTTCACATTTGTTGTTTCTGCAGATGCGGTGCCTTATTTTTAATGCTATGGTTTAGCTTCCTTGTTTTAAATAAGAAATACTATACATATATTGATAGTGATGGAAGCAACCTTGACTTCCTGTACCAAAGGCCTTCTGCATTTTGCATTTTCTTTGTTGTTTTAGAGAGGCATTGCATAGCATTCATCATCAATCTTCTTGTGAATCCATTACTTCTGTAATTGTGATTGTGCTGTTATCAATATACTGAATCTATGCCATATTTGTGCAGAGTGTGACACCACATTTATCCTTGGGTGGTGAAGTATTTTGGGCTGGTCAGCACCGAAAGTCGGGCGTTGGTTATGCTGGCCGATATGAAACAGATAAGATGGTAATTTAGCGTGGTTTCTTCCTTTATAACTGGCTTTTCAATATTTATTTTTGCAATAATTAGTGGGTGCTGTTTATTACTCCCTAATATGTTTCTAAACCTGTTATAAAGGTAGGGTTGTCATATAGATCCCTAACCAAAATATTGAATATGGTAGCCAATTTCTGAGAATCAGGATGTCCTTTCTTTTTAATGACTTGCAACATTTCCAAAGTATGGAAGTGGTGGACCAAGTCATTGGAATCAAGGACATGGTTTAATGCTGTCTTTCTGAAGGTGAAACTGAATGTGCATTCAAAACTAGTTAATGCAAAGATTAATGTTTGGCACATTCTGATCTTGTGTCGCCTGTGTTATAGACCCATGAAAAACTCTTCAGCATTTAAACTCCTGTTCATGAAGTTTCTGGATTTTCAGAAATACTGTTCCTCTGGTCCCTGAATATTTGATATCAATGCTTCTTCTAAGCAGACTTTTAATCCTTAAAATAGTTAATTCACTTCTTCCCCACCAATTTTTTGCCTTACCCCTGCCAAGGATAACTTCTTGTAGGCATGGAATTCAAATGTTATCGTTAGAAATATTCTCTGTTTGCTTTATGCACATATAACTAACCTAAGCACTCTCTGCCTCAGGTTGCCACAGGGCAAGTTGCAAGTACTGGAATGGTTGCTTTGAGCTATGTTCAGAAGGTATCTGAGAAGGTAAGAACTTTTTCCTCCTAATAATATGCAATTTGTTTTGATGTCATTCTTACATAATTTTATTGCTATCAAGGTTTCTCTCGCAACAGATTTCATGTATAACTACATGTCAAGAGATGTAACAGCAAGTGTTGGCTATGATTACATCCTTAGACAGGTAAGTTTTGGGTTGCTAGATTTTCAATATTAATGCACATTGATGTTTTTTCATGTCTATAGACATTAGAATTTAGTATTTATATTGTTTTACTCGTGCATATTACCTTCTCAATATCATCAAAAAATAACTTTGTGACAGAGTCTTTTCTTTCCTCTATTCTCTGGGAAAGGGGAGGGTTGACTTTTAAACATGATAGACCTCTTACGGGCAGTTATCAATTTTAATGGAGTTAAATAAAGGGAGTAGACCTAGGGCAGCGGGAGGAAACATGAACAACTACAATGGGTAATTTAGTAAGACATCCAAAGAAGCAAAGCTACTTTTTGTTATGAAATTTTTTGACATCAGTTTAGATTTTTCTTTAGTTGTATTCCAGCAAAATTGTTCTAACAAGTAATAGAATGGATCTAACTGGACCATCATTATGGTCAATTGATTTGTCATGTTTTCAGAGTCGCTTGAGGGGAAAGATTGATTCAAATGGATGCACTGCTGCTTATCTGGAAGAGCGGTTAAATATGGGCCTAAATTTTATTCTCTCTGCGGAGGTAAGATAACTTACGTAAGAAAGAGATTTGCAATTATACACCTAGAGAAGTTTTGATTAGTTGTTTTGCTATTGCTTATGAATGTGTTACCAATAATCCTTTATGTTTTAACATTCTTATTTATTTGTCTTGATTGATCAAGCAGTGAAGTTGGTGTTTCTTGACATGTTTTGCAGATAGATCATAAGAAGAACGACTACAAATTTGGATTTGGATTGACTGTAGGGTGATTCAATTTCCACGTAAAAGCAGTTGAAGAAGTTTCTTGTGTTTCCATTTAGCATGTGGTTGAAGATTAAAGAATTGAGTTTGTACTGGAAACTGATGTTTATTGGCGGGGCAGCAGGAGCTGCTGGAGCTATTTTAACAGTTGTTGGTATCGATTTGGCCGGTTTAGAGCTTCCCGTTTTGACTTTAGAGCTGTAGCATTTGTTAAGAAATTAATGCAATTTGAGATGTTTGTTACTCTAATAATAATATTCAGAATCCAAACAGCTTGTGACCTGAGATGAAGGCATAAAAGTTGCTACAAAAGTTCTCTTTCACCATTTGAAATTTCCTGTTTACGTTCCTTTTTTTTGGGAGCATCAAATTCCCTTGTAGAGAAATAAATTAAGCAGCTATAACATTGAAAACATTTGACGGCTCCTGCTCACCACCCCAGCAAGCATGGCAAGGGGGTCTGAAGGAGATATATACATAGTGAGGGATTAATTTATATCAGTGAAAATTTTTTTAATCATCGATTTCAATAACACTTAATAAATAAGATTAAATAATTTTTTTTGACTTGTCTCTGTCATCACTTAAAGAAAGCAATAATTAGAAAAAGATGTAAAAATATATAAAATTTTTTTCCGTAAGTTGATCTCTCCTCTCTCCCCTCTCTATATATATAACCACCTTAACCACAAAATAAACAAGCCATTTTAATCTACTTTTGAGGATACAGTCTAGGTCTCAATCAAACAGCCATTGATATAAATAATGCATGATTTTACTTGTTTTATATCAAACAATTGCACTTGAATTGGTATTACCTTTTAATCAAATTTCACATTTTGCTGTCACTTTTAGCTTACAACAATTCTTTAACTTCAAAACTGAGGGACCGACTCTGGATCTTAGTTACAAAATACAAATTGTGAAGATGAATGCCCACATTATTATTAAAAATCTAACACTTCTTAAGACCAGGTATACAAATCTCGGTGGGTTGAGTATAATGGACCTGAATCTGAAATAATTTCAAAAAAGATTATAGCTCCAAATAAAGATGCAAGAAACTGCATAGAAAATAAAATTAAAAAAAAAAAAAAAAAAACCTTGACCAATTATGAATCTTGTCTGGGACAAAGTTATTCATATGTTAATATCTGCCAATGATGCATCTATTTTTCAATTTTGTAAGCATATTCTGTCAGACTTAGACAAATCCGAAGCTCTTAAATACTTAAAATACAAACTCCCCTGCAAAGTTTATTAGAGGCCAACTAATTAATTCTAATACCTGCCCCTCATGACCAATAAATCAGGATTAATGTTCATAGTACACATGTCAACTGGATCATCAAATTTTTGACAGCCTTGAAAACTTCAAATTATGAAACATCAAGTATCATCAAGTATACACTCTGATAAATGTATGTATATCAGAAAGATGAAATTCAAGGACCAGCTAATTGTGAAAAAGGCCTCCAAAACAAGCAAAGACCCATAATCTGCAACGAACAATAACAACTTGAACCAGCTGATAGATAGAATAAAACCTGAAAAAAAGGGGGTAATCAAATAATAGAGACAAGAACTCACCATGGATAGCAACACCGATAGCAGAACCTTTGTTGAAATTGTAGAAAGTTTTTCTTAATTACTAATTATATAATGCATACAAGTCTTGCTAGAAAAGAGTTTGAATTCTATTGCTGCCCTGTGTTCTGCGAAATTATGGCAAGAAGAGATCCATTATGCAAAGACAGACAATGATAAAAAAAAAAAAAAAGGATTACTGACGGTTCCTCTTACCTATCATGAAATTAGCATTTAGCGAAACTCATCGTGGTATTCATAGTCATCTTCATCTTCATCATCATTGAAGATGGCACTATAAAATACATATGGGTTGTCAATCATCTCAACTAAGCTTAAGCGACCATCTTTATCTGAATCTGCCTGCAATTAAATTATCAAAACATTCAATAACGGAGAGGCAATGGATAAGTAAGTCCAAGAGGAACAGGGGATTTGAATGTCGGACTTTATTCCTCTTAAGGAAAGGCAAGAACCACAAGGCAAGCCTTGGTTGAGAGAGATGCCAAACTTAAAATTTTCATTTCATTTCATCAAAAAGGTTGCAAGAAACTCATTTCCTTATGCAAGTAACATTCAATCTAATACAAAGACCATAATATTTGCGGACGCCAATCATAAAAAATAAGAAGAAGAAGAATAATAAGTCAATACTGGTAGTAACCAAGTTATCACCTTCAACACATTAGCATAATATAAGGTAAAGAGATTTCTAGGACTTTGAACAAGAGCATGTATGAGGAAGGGGGAGTATTTATTGTATACCTTGCCTTAAACATTTGCCATGAGGAAAGTCATTATAATTAGATTCATGCAGAGTGAGTTGTTACAACCATAGCCAGGGAATTCCATAATGCCATAAAGATACATAGAAAAAATTCTTACACTGTTGGCATTAGGTCTCCTTGGCTATGGTTGCGAAAACCATGATATTAACTATTAAAATAATAATGACAGGAATGGTCTTAGTATTAAGACTCCTCCATCCTATAATGAATGATACTTTTCAAAATGTACAAACCTTAAGAATGCATGAATGCATTACTGTTTCTAATAGCCGTCTCTTTCCAGCTGGTATAACTTTGTCCTGTTTTAAAACATAGGCTAATATTGAGCATAAAGCATTTAATGTTTTCAGTTTAAGTAATGTTTCACTTATCTTCTGCTGTCCCTAAAAGGGAAGGGCAAAGAGATCAAAGATTATGACTCTGACTAGTACTAACAATGTTGTCAAGGTGCAGCGCCTAGGCACTAAGGTGCAGCACCAGGAAACAAAAGCGCCTCATACCCCTTTGGACGAGATAAATTTGATCAGATGCACCTAGGTGTGCTTTTTTGTTAGGCAGTAGGTGCAAAAACACACCCATCTGATTGGATTTCTCATTCATTTCTTTTCTTTTCATTTCTAATATATTTTTCTAATTGTACCCTTAATAGTAATAAAAGGGACAGTGTCAAACTCTACTTCTCAATGTATAAGTATTCAACAACAAACTTGGGACCATAAAGAAATCATGTTTGGCAAAAAAAAAAAAAAGGAAAAAGGAAAAAGGAAAAAGGAAATTTTGCATGTTTTGTAGGATAAAAAAGGATCACTCTTTAGAGTTTATTATCAGAATTAAATGTCTTTAAGCTTGTTTTATACACACATTATTTTATACACGTGCACACGCACATGCACACGCGCACACACACACACATATATCTATTGTACCTCACTTCATTCAGGTGAGTGATCTTTTTGCGCCTTGCATCTCAGACAATATATAAGAGTTCTAGCGCCTACAGTGCACCTTGCACCCTTGACACACTGAGTGCTAACATCTGTTTTTGTTCGTCACGATTCTCATCATAATTGATTTAATAATTATTCTTTTTTCTTTACAAAATTTAAATTTGTTATGCTCTATTTGTTTGGAACTTTAATTTTCCACTAAAAATTTCTTTGTTTTGAATAATATAATTGAAATCATTAATTGCATTGCCTTTAAATTTCATTATACCAAACTAAAATATAACACTTAAGACTCCATTGCATTATTCTCTTCCTAACCCATCAATTTTCACATTACATTACATTCCAAGTACAAATGCACAGCTAAACATTGTCCATATGAAATATGTGGCTTCAGCAAAATACTTCTAATAAAAGGTGATTCCAATTATCAAACAGAAAAGAATAAAGTCGAACATTAAAGAACTCAAACATATATGCATGCATAGTAAAGCTCAATTTTTTGGTGTCATATATACCTGTGATATGGTATAATCTGCTTGCTGTTTTGCATAGTACCGCTCTGATGGATGAAGTTTCCCAATTATTGGTAGTAGCTCTTCATCTGACAAGAATCTGTTAATAGGATGTACCACAAATTTAACTATCCAGACAACTAAGTTCTCAATTCAACCATGACACTAAACATCAAAAGTTCATACAAGTACCTGTCACCATCTTTATCAAGCTGGCTAAACAACCGTTTAGCCAGGGTCTCCATTGAGTCATCAGATGGATGGGAAGAGTTATGGCTTTCTTCATCATAGTTTCTTACCAAGTCAAATAGCCCATGAAAAAATTCATTAAAATTAACCTTCCCATCTTTGTCTGTATCTCTTTCCCTGAAGAGGAAAAAGAAGCAAAATTAATAGGCAAAAGTAGAAAAGGCAGATCAAATGCAAATGGGATAACATGGCCAAAAGTTGGAAATTGTTTTCGTTATTTCTTGAACTCAAAATATATAATTTAAGCATGAGTTTGTTCATTTTTATTAGTACAGACAAACACGACTATCATAGGGAATAAGGAAAAGAAATAAAACTCAGGTTACCTTACTTCCTCCTTGCACAACCATTGAAGCAACTTTGGGTTTTTGCTGTCAGCTGGGTGCAGAAAGCTAGGAAAACACCAAACATAAAAATTAGAGGGAGAGAAATAGCAGCAACTGAAAATAACCCCTTTCGCTGGGAGAAGATCAATTGAAACTTGTTATAGAATTTGGTTCTTACTCATTGAACTCAGTTAAATTCAATAAACCATCCCCGTCGGCATCTGATGCATTAAAATGTTCCTCTTTCCACCAGCCCATATCATAGGCAAAAGAAGTGTTGTCTAGAAAAGGAAACACAAATAAGTCACCATCTCTAAAGATTATTATCTGCCAAATTAAACAGAAATCAATTACCATATCCAAGTTTCATCATAGTGGTAATGATTGAAAGCAAGATAAAATCCATACATAGACTAGAATTGTCATAAAGGTTTGCTCTATGTTTCTATCACAAAGAATACGATAAGTACCAACTTGTCACTCATGGCAGGAAACAACAGAACATAGATGTTTATATTGTTCTGGCTTAATGTTACTACATCTGTCAAAAAATTTCAAAACTACTTCAAAGGATGCCTTCATAGATTCGCAAAAAGGAATTGAAAGATATATAAAGCTAATTTCTGTAATAAAAAATATGTGCACAACCATCCATTAACCACCTCAATAACTTAGAAACAAAAACAAACCAAAATCACATTAAAAAAAAAAATCACTACGGAGTAGTTTCATAATATGAATTAGAATTTAGTAAAATAATGTTAGAGATCACTGACCACTGTTCACCCAACTGGGAGGCTCATACTCTGCATATGAAATTAATCCATCATGATTTTTATCATGAATCTCCATCTCCCTCTGAGTCCTGTGCAAGACTTCCCTTGCAGCCTGCTGCAGGGTCCACTCAGTCAACTCATTCTCAGTCACAAACCCATCTGCTGGGTCCACATCAATCTTTGGAAATAGCAATACCAACCTGTTCATTACATTAAACCTCCACTCAAACAACATCTATCAAAATGTTAGTGTCAACGTGCATGTTCGTAGACGAGGATATAAATACAGGTTCAAGGTTTACATAAATTGTGCCATGATGCAAAGATACACACAGGTAGTATCAGTTTATATTACCAACCAAATCATCACAATGTACTCGAAACAATTAAGCATACTCACATCTCAATCATTACAACAATAAAGACACCTATCATGCTTCCTATAAAGCACACGAAAAACTACAAGTCTTACACAAAAACATAAGCATTAGTACATAAACTAAAATTAACTACCAACAATTATTATGATTAGATCTGCTCCATAAATTCACCCCTGCATGTAATTGACAGGGATAAAAGAAGCATCATTGTGAACAAGTACATGCAGCTCATAAATAGTAGTAATTATTTAAGAACATTACTTGATCAAGCACCCATTTTTAACTAAAATTAGCAGCTAAAACATTGATTAAAGCTACAAACATTCAATCCTTAATAACAAAAACAGAAAAAAAAAAGTAGTAACATGAATTTAAAACCAAATGTAATAGCACCAACCTATTGGTAACATTGAACTTGTCCTCATCATTCAAATAATCCTCAGCGTTCATGAAATCCTCCCACTCGGGCTGCGACTCTTCAGCCGGTGCGGGGTCATGCGTAAACTCAGGATGGGAATGCTTGAAGTACTGCTTCTCCCATTGGCGGTCTTCACGGCGGCGCTCGAAGTCGGCCACTAGTGGGTCAAAAGGAACAGGCTCGTGGATGGTGGGGTTGCTGAAGCTGAAGGAAGAGCGGAGCTTGAGGCGACGGTGGCGGTTGTGGGAGGAGTGTTTCCTAGGGGCATAAGAGATGAGGAAGAGGATTAGAAGAGCCACTGTGATGTACAAAATGGCTGAAACTTTTCCCATTTTTGGAAAGTACCCAAAAGTTGACGGAATATAAAAAGAATAAGAGAGAGAGATCTGGCCTCTAGGAGAATAATGTGAAAATTTTGGGCAAAAGATCTAATCAAAGGAACAAAAAATAAAAAAAAAAAATTGCAGAGAAGGTAAAGAAAGGGTTTAGAGTTATGAAGAGGTTTTGAAGGATTTGGACTGAGAATGGAAAAAGGAAGGAAGGAGTGACGATGGGCCCATGGGACGGAAGTCTGTCTCTTAGATCTTTGAAATATTCCGAAGGATTGAATCCCGGTGCCGCAACCTCCCAGCGTACCAAAATAAAAAATGAAATAAATAGTTTCTTGGCCTTTGAACGTACGAAAATAAAAAATTAAATAATAAATATTTTTTCAAACATAAGACTTTTCAAGAATGTACCACGTGGCAATCTTTAATTTTTTAAACTTTTTTTATTCTCTTTCTTCTTCGTAACCTTTTCTATATTCTCTATCAAAAACCATTTTTTCCTTTCTCACGTTACGTCCAACAAATTTTTTTTTTTTGGCCAAAAATCAACCCTTCTCTTCATTTCTCATTCATGTTTTCAGCTATTTCTTATGTTCCACAAAAAACTATCTAAAAAAAACCTAATACTTCTTTGGTTTTTTTTTATTGTTGTTGTCAATATAGACTTTGGCCGCAACTCCTTCCTCTTTTCCTTTTCTCTTTTTTCTTCTCTTGACATCAATTAACTCTTTTTTATTCATTATTCTCAATTTTTTTTACTACAAAAGTTGAGAAACTAAGTCATTCCTTTAAAAAAAAATTGTCCATTGAAATATTTTTCTTTGATTTTACCCAAATATTCAATTTTTTAGGATTTAAATCCGATTCAGTATCATTTTTACTCTTTAGTTTAGATCAAAGTTTGAATTATAGGTTTTGATGGTCATTTTTAGTCAATTTTTTAGGTTATTTAAATTCGATCGATGTGTTAATTGTTGGGGTGGTTAATTTTGTTTTATTTCTAAAGGTTTTGAATGGATATACCTGTGTCATATGTTATGGAATATTGGAGTTATTTTTAAAAATATTTTATTTAGGGATTTTAAAGATAAATTTTTATATAATAATTAGATAAAAATGATCTTTTTTTTTTCAAGTACTCAGACGAAGGGTTCAACCATTTGAAGAGGTTAGTTAGAGAATGAGAGAGATGAGCTTGGCAAATAAAGAAAACAAGCGCCTGAAAAGGTGAGAGCTAGACTATTATGGGTTTAGCCAGATAATATTACTATTTTGTCTTTTTTTTTTAGTTGTTCTCATGTGAGACATGTGGCGTTTTGATGAATTTGGATTTTTTTTTTTATTTAGAGAAGGTTATTGAAGAACAAAGTTTCAATACAGCAAGCAAAGGAGAGGAAAAACGTATACTTGAATGAGCTAGAGAACAGAGTTGAATAAAACAGAGTTAAAAAGTTTGGCGAGTTAGTATATACTATAAACATGTGAAAAACATGCATAAAAAAGCATGATTATATTAGAATTGGGGCCTCCTCCTTTGATTATCTCAAGGTCAAGTAGAAAACCTTTTGTTGTTTTTCGTAAATCTTTGTCAATGGATTGATTTCTTCACTTATAAAATGGATTTTTAGTTGCTACATAGATTAGTTGGTTGATAAGTATAATAGTTATATATACTTTTTATTTGGATTCAATTGTTATAGGTAGTATTTAGAGAATAAAATTTGGAATACATCACCATGATCACCTTAATGTGGGAGGATATGCTTTTAAGATTGTCCCAAAATGAAAATAGATTGAGGCAAAAACTAAAGCTTCTTTGTCTGTATTAACAAAATGGTTTTCATTAACAATTTGCATCAAAACAATTGCACCATTAAATTTGAGGTTACATTGTTGATTAACATAAAATTATTACTTAGTTTAGGATTATCTTGGTGTCCTTATTTCTTAAGAATATCATTTATTATCATTATATGGCTTTGATGTTTTTACATTACTATTATTACTTGATTTCTACTGTAAACCTTTGTTGAACTTTTCTAATAGTGACTAGCTTGGTAAAATGTATATTTCCTCTAACTAGAAATTTCCTGTAAATAAAAAAGATTAATGAAACACAAAACTTCCCTTTTGATTAATGTTTAGGTGGAAGAAAAACCATATGATTAGTGGAAACTTTGTTGTTAAGAATGATAAGATTAGTTAATATATTTTCTAAATAAAATTATCTTTGCCATTAGAGACAAAAATGGGGACCCTATGACAAGAAATGTGAAGTATAATTGCCCACTCTTCTAAAAGAGGGAAAATTCCAAAACCTCATCTCCCAACAAATACAAAACAAAGTCAAAGATAGAAAAAGTGCTAGAGGAATAACCCACATTACACATGCATTTTTCCTTTGTTTATTATTATTATCATTATTATTATTATTTTCCATAGATCGTCACTTTTAAATAATAATTGCATGGAATGAAAACAAATTTTTTATAGGATGGGTTTCTAATCAATTAGTGGAAGGCAACACCAAAGATCCATCCAATACTAAAAAGATGTGAAAAAGCATGCATAACTTTGGCTTCACTTTTAATTTTGTTCTATTGGAAAAAAGTTGCTTTTAAATACTTCTTGCTTTCATGAATATGATTTAATCACATAGAATTTGCTCTTATGGTTTTATTGTTTAATTTAAAGATTTTAGTAATTTAATTCTAGAATGATCTATTCTTTTGAATTTAAGTTTGCATTTACATGCAGAAGGCAATGACTAAGCTAAGTTCGTCCTTTGGTTAATTTTATAGATAAGCACTTTTTCTTTAAATCTAAATGATTAAAAAGTTTCATGTAATATCTTAATTTCTAAATAATTGAAAATTTATGGTCTTGAGACCTAATAATTTGTTGATTTTTATACCTTTATCTTAAATATAATGCATTTTTGTTTGTAGCACTGTATCTTTATGTTGAAGCTTAAATTGTTTGTTATACTCTAATTTTATAGTAGATTACGAAAACCAAATGCTATTAAATAGCTCAATGTTATATCTTTCTGTTTTGTTATTTGAGATGGACTTAGATAATCTTGCTCATTCATTTAATAGCATTATGCTTCTATGACTAAGCCTATATTGTATTGAATTTGGACAAGTGAATGAGCTTGAAAGAAAAAAGTTGAGCTTTTCCTAATACAAAAAACCTAAAGGGGTATTTGGTTCACGGAATCTTAGATTCCGAGGGAAAGTGTGATATTCGAGTTTTCTTTCATTTTCAAGGTATCTCACGTTTAGATTCACTCGTTTGATTAAAGGGAATTCACATATATTAATTTATATATAATTATCATAATCTCTTTGACATATATGATGACAACTTTTTATTTTATTTTATTAATAATAAATGCCCAAATAACAAATGATGCTTTTAGCAGTAAAAAAATTACTGTTTTTATTTATAAAATATCATCAATTGAGGCATTTGGCACTTTTTTTAGTAACAAAAATTGATAGAAAAAATTGTTAGAAAAATGCGTTTGTCACTTTTTTTATATCATGGAAAAAATTAAAAATATTTCTTTAATTTATTTATAAAAGGATCATTTAAGGCATTTTCGTACATAAAATGCCTTAAATGATCCTTGTATTTTATAATAAAAGGATTATTTAAGGTGTTTTATGTGCAAAAATGTTTTAAATAATCTTTTTATTTTTTTATATCATGGATCATTTAATAATTATCATTTAATTTATAAAAAAATTATTTAAGGCATTTTTTACGAAAAAAACTTAAACAATCCATTTATAAAAACATAAAAGGATTATTTAAGGTGATTGTTCATGCCAAACGCCTTAATTGTAATATACAAAATTATTATTTTTGTACAAAAATTTTTAACTGAGTTTCAGTCACTTTTAGATATGTTGTTTTTTAAAAGGGAAATAACTATTTCATTATTTTTTATTCAGGTCAAATTTAAAATAATGCAATTTTTTCCTTGAAATTCTAAAATACCACAGGAGAAGTGAGTTTTTGATTATAGGACTTTGGGTACTGTTAGGAATTTAACATTTTCTCTCGTAATCGCATTACCTTAAATCAAACATGGGAATTAAATACCCATCATCAAGATTTCGGGGGAAAATTTATGGATTCCCTTGAACTAAAAGCACTTTAAAAGTGAGGCGAGGAGAAAAACAAGTTAAGTGTTAAAAATAAGTTTATAACATATAACACCATAAAAAATATTTAAGGCAAGTATCTTATCTATTTTTTATCTTTCATTTATTAGGTTAAAGTTATCATATAAATGAGAGGTCAAAGTGCTAATTTGGGGGGTTTCAAATATGTTTTTGTTAGTTTTGGGGTGAGAAAATTGAGAAAAAAATAGATATTTTTTTATGAGTGGATTCATAGGCAATTGTCAAAATGCTCTGTAATGCCCGTATTTAAATTTGGATCATTTGAAGGTTTTGGTAAGAGAAAAAACAAAAAAAGAAGAAAAGTTTTTAAGTTTTGTTTTAATATTGACACCTTAAATAATTATAATTGTGATTTTTGGTAGTAAATTTGAGTTGTCTTATTAATTGTTATCTTCATATATTACTTATCATATTATCAAAGAAAGAATATGATGAAAATAATGAAAAAAATTAAAGAAAAATATGAATTTGATTATTATTAGTAGTATCACTTTAGATTTGATTGTCAAATGTATGGATGAAATTGAAGCTGTTTTTTTTTACAATAATATTTGATGCAATCATTCATGGCAATATGAATAGAGAAAAACATGACTGATTGGTTCTTAAATTTCACTCAATTTTTTATCGTTATAATTAAAGAGATCAATTGGTTTTTGTGCCCAATCAATTGGGTCAGTCAGATTTCGCATACTAATGATTTTGGATAAACAATGTCGCTGGTTGTCTTTTATTTTATACTTTATTTACTAATTTAATCATATTTTGAGTTATATAACTCTAAATCAAAAACTATTTGAAGATTTAGAAACTACACTTTAAAATGTTTTCTATCCATGTAAAATTCATCAGCTAACTTATTGTATTCAAATTATAGTAAATTTTCAAAATTATTTCTTGTGCAGTTATTAGACATCCGTACAATGTCTAGTAAAAATTCAAATTTTTTTTGAAAATTTGAATTTTGATTTTGTTTAATTCTTTAGAAAGTAAACTCAAAGAGCTGTCCAATAATATAAAATTCAGATATTAAAACTTTGTAAATTAATATAGAAAAATAAAATAAGTTCAATGTTGAAAAATTTTGTTCTTGTAAAATAACTTTCTTAAGTTAATCTATATCTCAAAATTAATATTATCAAA